CGATTTTCAAAATACATTCATTATTTTCATTTCCCCTTTCTGTCTGAAGGGCACACCATGACTCACAGAAAGAAAAGAACTATAGAACAATTAAAATATAAATCATAACCAATAATCAGAGAAGGAAAGCAACTAGAAAAACCACAGTGAATAAAGCCAGGCCACAAAGAGCTGATTAAAATCAAACAATGTGTAATGGGAAAAATACACATAGACCAAAGGTATTTCCCTCCTTTTTGATACACATATAGCTGAATAGGTAGCACAGTGGCTTAGGCATCTGGCTGTGGGGCCAGAGGTTGAGGGTCCCTATACATATATAGGGAAATGCTCTGACATATTCCAGAAGGGTAATTTCAAACACGAGAGTTGTCAGGGTTCAAGCTATATATTTCATCCTGGAAATCTCCACAGCTTAGCCTAACCACAGAAGACTTGACTGTGTTTCCCTTGGTGGAACATGGGAAATGAGGTTCGGCAGACCCTCAGGCATTCTTACTTCTTCCCATCTCCTGGTACAGATTCTAAGACTGTTAAGGTAAAGGTTCCCCTTGACAATTATTGTCCAGTCGTGTTCGACTCTAGGAGGCGGTGCTCATCCCCGTTTCCAAGCCATAGAGCCAGCGTTTTGTCCGAAGACAGTCTTCCGTGGTCACATGGCCAGTGCGACTTAGACACGGAACGTTGTTACCTTCCCACCGAGGTGGTCCCTATTTATCTACTTGCATTTGGATGCTTTCGAACCGCTAGGTTGGCGGGAGCTGGGACAAAGTGACGGAAGCTCACTCCGTCGCGTGGATTTGATCTTACGACTGCTGGGCTTCTGACCCTGCAGCACAGGCTTCTGCGGTTTAGCCTGCTGCGCCACCACGTCCCAATCTTAAATTCTTTGAGGTTCTAACAAACGATCAAGTTGACCCCATCCTTCCAAAGGGAATCCTTAGAAAGCTGTAATGTTCTCCAGTTTGTCCATATCCTCTGAACCACGTTGGGAACCCCAGACCTGTTCCAGAGAAATCAGTCCTGACTTCCTGCAAGAGCATGAACCCCAGGAACTTGCCTCTAGGGGACACTGAGGTCATCAGTCTGCCCTCATAATAACCTGGGTGCGAAACAAAATTTAGGTGACGTCACTCAGCTCAGCTCCTTAATGAGACCGCAAAGGGACACCGTTTAAATCTGCCCACAAAATATCCCAAGCTAAACCCAACAGCTCATTGCAAGCTGATCCTCATACGGGCCAGTTACTGTTCTGGCCCCGTCATCAGGAGGCTGCAGTTGAATAATCAAAGAAGGCAACTTAAAAATAGAGCCAAGTCTGACTGGTTAGGTGGCTTGCCTGTGATGTCAAGCTGGCCCCACCTTGGCTGACAGAATTTCACCGAAAAGACACCAAGCTGACCTCCCTATGCCCTGTTGCACCAAATGGCCCCCAGATCTCAGCCCTCCCAGACAATGAGCATTCACAGGACACAAGACGGCCCTCAGAGAATCTCTCGGGGCATACTCCGTGCCATTCAGTGCAGTTCTCAGGCCGTTTCCTCAGCAACAAATTTCGAAACCTTCACAACATGACCTGGCTGTTTCCGTTTCAACCAGTTCTGTCCCGTAAAGAAATAAAAAGCCCAGGAGAAAAATTCAACCGTTTTGAGAAATTACAGCGGCCACTTTCTCTGCCTGAATGCTCCTTTCTTCTTTTTACAGTGACACAACCGGCCGAATTCCACTAGATGCATTTTTTTCTGGTTCCTAGAAGAAAACAGATGGCTAGACCACTCTACAGGGGCATGCCGCATAAGCACTGCAACAATTATTTGCAAATACCACTTGTCTGAACTGACTTGAATCAAGAATGTATGCTTTGCAGATTAATATCCACCGTTATTGATTCAGGGAGGAAATTTCTAACGTGAGACATCAGAAGAAATCAGCCTATCAGGGAAGAAACATATGTCCTGTGATCTCAGGCATAGAGAGTGGCTGTCACTAGTCAGTGGTAAGAGAAAGACATTCTGAATATGCTCAGAGGCCCTCTTTCCTTCACCCTCCTATTCCATGGCATTACACAGCCACTGAAAACAACTGGCAGTGTACACCGTTTTGCACCTTACTGAAGTGACCACAGAGACACCGCTGAGGTATATCCTCCACATATAGTTACAGAAGTGTCCAAATGCTCACGAGAGGTTGATTCCAGGACTGAACACAGGTACAACAGTCAACGATTTGCATACTTCATGCTTGTGCAAACATACACCTGCCGGCATCTGCAAAATGCACACCCATGCCCACTGTTCCCAAGTCATGGGTTTCAAGCCTCTTCTCTCAATGGTGTCTGGTTACAAAGAGTTTCGGGATTGTTGGAAGACAGATAACAGGAGTTTCACACAAACCAGTCTCCTGGCTGCACCTTCAGCGGCTCTCCACTTTATTCACTTTTACAAAAGAAAGAAAGAAAGGTTATATATGCCCTTTGGCTCTTAGGTCATATTTCCTTCCCAGAGGAGAAAGAAGTAATACCAGTACTGCTGCCACCAGCCTCTATAACTGATTAAAATCTAGTGGGACTAAAACTCACTGCATCTCCAAGAGTCTGAGATCTGACATCTACCACCACTTACAGTGGTGCCTCACTAGACAATGACAATCCGTTCCACTGAAATCGCTGTTTAGCAAAATCATTGTCTAGCGAAAAGCATTTCCCCATTGGAATGCATTGAAACCTGTTTAATGCGTTCCAATGGGGAAGAATCATCGTTGTCTAGCGAAGATTGGCCATAGGAAAGCCGCTTTGCGAACCGCCGATCAGCTGTTTAAATCGCTGTCTTGCGAAGCTTAGATCCTGAAAACACCCGTTTTGCGAGCACAGAGGGAGCTGTCAAAATCGTCGTCTAGCGAAAATCAGGTTGCTAAGCAGGGACCAAATATGGTCCAGTGATAGTCCCCCATAGGAATAACTGTTTTGTGAATTGCTATAGTGATCACAAAAAGTCAATGTCTAGCAAAAAAACTGTCATGCGGGGTAACTGTCTAGTGAGGCACCACTGTACTAAAGAATGGTACCTCTGAGCATTCACGGACTGCTGTCTTTATGTTGACATATCATCAAAGCCAGTTCCCATTCACATCCATAAATAGGCAGCCAATGTTCTCATTGGCTAACTGGATAGCTCAGTGGGTTAGGGAAACCTGGCTGCAAAACCAGGGGTTGGGAGTTCGATTCCTCACTGGGTGGAGCCAGCCTGTGTGGCCTTGGGTGAGCGGCACAGTCCCAGGATGCCCCAAGAACACAGGAATGGGAAACCATGGGTCACCGTAAGTCAGAATTGACTTGACGGCATGTGATTATTATTAATGTTCTAGCTTAGAACCTAGCAGCATTCAAACAAGCTTTTCTTGTAAAACACGGAGCAACCTCTGCAGGCTAATTTTTTCCCCTTTCCAGATTGATAACCTTTTCTTTTCTACCAGATCAAGGAAACAAAAATGATGGGAAGAAGACATCCATTAGGTAAAGCATCTGTTATAAAGAGATGTAATGATAACCATTTAAAAAAATTCAACTGAATTCGATTTTTAGGAGAAAAATCAAAGAAACGGAGAGAAAAGGCAAGTGACAAGCTCATTCCAGTGTTCTACAAGTGCTTGCTTGAGACGTGCCCCCCTCCCCATTCTGCCTGTGTTTTCTCAGCACTCGAAGACCTTTGTCCTCTAGGAATGTAACACCCATCTCTCCCACCCCCTAGCTATACACACAGGACTGCTTTCAGGAAGAGGAAAAGAGACCAGGATGTGTTTGCTTTTGCAATTGAAAAGTCATCAGACCACCCATCAAAACTCCACCCAAAGATCACCGGACCTCCACTGCAGCCTCACCGCAAATAAACAACTGAGCCAAATCCTCTACTGTTAATTTGCCACCTAACAGGAGATGTATACTATGTGGCAGCTGGTTTCCAAATATTCCTCTTTTTTGGTAATATTTCTTTAGAGCTACAGTATACTCCTCCAAGGAGCATCACAGTGCAATAAATAATAAAGCACACATCCACAGTCCATAATATATGATGTACACAGGTTTTTAAATTTCCTTTAAGACGGCCTAGTTCTGAGACTCACTTGTAAACCCTGGAGAATTTTTTAATGTAACAATAATCAACGGTAAAACTTGCAGCCATGTGAAGCAAAACTGAGGACAACCATCCATTTCAACAGGACTTCCCTTTCAAAAAAAAAAAAAAAGGTAGCTACAGCCAGCCAAGAGATAGCGAAGGAAGGGAGGAGGGAAGCTTCCAGACGTGTGAATCCCAGCACCTCTGTTTTAAGAAATTAACTCCTGACTAAATGTGTATTGACCAACAATGAATCACTACATTTTTTTCCTCCCCAGATACAATGACAAACCCATATATTATGTTACTCCCCCCATCTCAAGGCACAGGTAGGTAAACACAAGGTGACCCAGCTTTTGGGCTGCCTCGGTACTTCTGATGAAGCTACTGACTGGTCTACACAGCCAGGCCGGTGGCTCCTCTTCGCCTTCAACGGGGCCACGGGGCTCCAAAAGTTCTCCCTCCAAGGGATATGAACCTTCGTACCATTAACTTTCCCCAAACACAGCCGCCCAGACATTTCCAGCAGATTGAAAGGACCCAACGGTTGTTAATTAAACTGCTTGATCTTGACATGGATGCCAAGCCGCCCTCTGTGCCAAATGGCAGGGGAGGAACTGGGAAAAAAGCCAGCAGACAAAATTAGTGGGGTGTGGATGTGGGGAAAGAAAAAATACAGCGCCTAGAACTCTATGAGCAGGCAGAGAAAGGTAGAAGAGAGGGGCCATGATCATGGCAAAGACAGGAAAGTTTTTTTCCCGCCCTGGAATACAGCTCCCAGAATCCCCTAACCAACATGGGAACTGTAGTCCCACCAAGGCAAATCTTCCAGTCCCTGGCTCATGGCGCCCCATTAATATCTTAGGAGAGTTGTCCCGGGGTACTCACCACCACTGGCAAACATCAGGCCTAGGGCGAGTCCAAAGGACCGGAGTGCTAGCCACCTTCCCATGGCGTGGCTACTGGTCAGGATGTCTGCTTGCCTTCAGCCCCGTTGCTTTTCTCTGCTCCCGGAGAGGTGGCGGCGCCTTAAGAGCCAAACGCAAGCGGGCCGAGGCGAAGGCTGCTACAGGTAGCCCAGCAGGCAGGTGAACTGAGAAGGGGAGGCGGCGCTCCCGGCTCGGCCTTGTTCCCGGGGATGACGGACAAGTGGCCCAACCTGTTGGGGACGGGCTGGGCTCCCCGCCAGAGCCAGTCAGCTGCTTCCCTCGCACCTGGCCGCGGCGGCGGGAGGAGGGGGAAGTCCCGCTTCGGCTCACCTGTTGCCTCCTGCGCGTTGGCTCACCTGTAGCCTTCCCCCCCCCGCGGCCGCGCGCCGCCCCCCCCCGCCGCCGCGCACACAG